CTGTCATTTAAATGTGAACTACTTCATGAAGAGCTGCAAAAATCTCCAAGGTGGTTTCCTGGAAGTTGGTGAACAGTTAGAGCTAGAACCAGTAAGACCACAACATCAAGCAGGATCTGATTCATTGCTCACAAGAATGGCCTTTTTCAACATGAAAGAAGTATGAAAACATCAGTGCCTTTTTCTCAATTGGTTGTTAGGTTGAGAACATTAAAAATCTTATGGCAAAAAAAGAAAGAAAAACATAACTTAAAATGAGCATATTATCTGAATAGACATGTCTCCAAAGATGATATACAAATAGTCATTAAGTGCAGGAAAAGACACTCAACATCATTAGTCATTAAGGAAATGCAAATCAAAACCACAATAAGATGCTACTTTTTATCTATGAGGATGGCTATAATAAAAATGCTAAATAATAACAAGTTTTAGTGAGGATGTAGAGAAATTGGAACCCTCACACACTCCTGATGGGAATGAAAAATAGTTCAGCCTCTTTGGAAAACAGTCTGGCAGTTCCTTAAAATGTTAAACACTAGGTTATTATATGACTTTCTTACGTGTATACTCAAGAGAAATGAAAACATCGTGTCTACATAAATACTTGTATGTGAATGTTCATAGCAATGCTATTCACAATAGCCAAAAAGTATAGACAACCCAAGAGTCCATTAACTGATGAATAAATAAATAATATGGTATATCTGTACAATGCATGTTTCTTTGGAAATAAAATTATTGATACATGCTACAAAATGGATGAGCCTTGAAAAACATTTTGCTAAGTGAAAGAAGCCAGACACAAAATATCACATATTTTATGATTCATCTATATAAAATGACTAGAATAGACAAATCTATAGAGACAGAAAGTAGATTTGTGGTTGCCTATTGCTTTGGGTTCTGCTGAGAAATGGTCAGTGACTGCAAATGGTGCAAAGCTTCTTTCTGAGGTAATGGAAATTTTCTTAAACTAAGTGTGGTTATGGTTGCCCAATCCTGTAAATACTAAAGCCACTGAATTACATAATTTTAAAAGGTGAATTTTATAGTATATGTATTATATCTCAATAAAGGTGTTATAAGACTCAATGAAATCAATTCTCCTTACAACTAAGGAAATAAAAAGTGTATTAGTATCTCAATTAATGGAGGAAAAAGATTTGACAAAATACAAAATATATTTGCAATAAAACCCTTCCGCAAACAACAAATAGAATGGAACTTCCTTAACACGATAAAAGACATCCATAAATAAACTATAACATCATACTTAATCATGAAAGATTGACTATTTAAAAATAGTAAGAATGACCTCTCTCACCACCGCATTTCAGCATCATACTGGAAGTACAAGCCAGGTTAATGGGAGGGAGGAAAAAAGGAAAGAAAAAAATCTAAAGTGCAAAGAGAGAGAGAAGTTGGGATAAGAAATAAAGACAATAACGATGGTGGAGATGAGGAAAATGATGATGAGAAGAAAAGCAGAGAGAAATCTTGGGCAAGAGGTTCTGCATGACAGCTCTGGGATTCCCCCCTTTTTTGCCTTGCTTCTTGCAACAGGTCCTGGAATGACAGCTGGATCCTATAACTTTGTCTCATGGCAGTTCTGCTAGGTGACAGTGGTAAGAGGAAATAGCCCAAGAGAGGTCAAATTCTTATGGTATAACAGGGGTAGGTTGGGCCTCAATGGGGACCTTGTACCTCCTAAGTCAGGTGATTTTGCCCTGAAGGAAGGAAAAGTTCCAACTTGTCCATTGTCATCAGCTCCAACTGTAACTGAACATAGCTAGAAAGTGGCTAAAGATGGAGGTAACAATACAGGCAGAAGTGCGGCTTAACAGCTTGACCTCTGAAATTCTGTCCAATCCCATGATTCTCATGTATATAATGTATGTTTCATAAAATGCTATCTTAAAACTCATGATTTTATTAAGTTTCCATTTAAGGTATTTTATATTCACATAAATAATAACAATAAAATCAAAAGAGAAAAAAGGGAAATTGATTATAGAAGACTCCTCAAAAAGGCCTACATATTTATAAGTAAAAAATAAAACTCTCAAAAAAAATCTCTCTCTGTTCACAGATCATATGATTGTCTATGTAGAAAATCCCAAAATATCTGCAAGAAAAAAACTCCTAAAGCTAATAAATGAGTTTAACAATTTTGCAGGGTATAGAGCCAATATACAACAGTTGGTGACATTTCTATATACTAATACTAAACAATTGGATATAAGATTATTAAAAATTACATTCATATTAGCACCAAAAATGTGGTACTTAAGAATAAATCTAATAAAATATGTGTAGGATCTGTGTGCAGAAAAATATAAAACACGGATGAAAGAAATCAAAAGCCTAAGTAAATGGAGAGATATAACTTGATGATTAGTTAGAATACTAATAGTGTTGGGACATCAGTTCTTCCCAGTCTGATCTAGAGACTGAACAAAATCCATCAAGAGTTTTGTAGATATTAACAAGCTCATTCTAAAATATATACATAAAGTCAAGGTAAAATAAAAGAGCCAAACAAGTATATTAAAGGAGTAGAGAAGAGAAGAACATTGGAAAAGTCACACTATCTAATTTCTAGACTTATTCTAAAGCTCTGTAATTGAGAGAGTGAGTTATTACAAAAAAAAAGGGAATTTATGTGAGATGATGAATGTGTTAATTGACTTGGTTGCAGTAATCCTTTCACAAAATATACATATATTAAACTACCACATTGCATACCTTTTTAAAATCATGTTGTACAACCCAAATATGTATCATGTTTTTGTCAACCATGTATCAATAAAGCTGGGAAAAAAAGAGGATTTTGGTGAAAAGATAGACCACTTGTTCAGTGGAACAACATAGAAAAAAACAACATAGATGTACACAAATGTAGTCAACTGATTTTGGACAAAGGGGCAAAGGCAATTCAAAGAAGAAAGGATAGACTTTTTAGCAAATAGTATCAGAAAACTAGACAACTATTTGCAGAGAAACAAATTTCAACACAACCTCATACCTTAAACAAGAGTTAATTCAAAATGGGCCATAGACCTAAATGTAAAGTGTAAAATTCTAAAATATACAAGAGAAAGCACTAGAGGAAATCTATATTGGTTTGGCAAAGAGCTTTAGACATAGAACCCACAGCAGAATCCATAAAATAAAAAAAAAAAAATAATGGCGCTTCATCACAATTAAAAACTTTTGCTTTGTGAAGAATACAGTTAAAGGTCTAAAAGGACAAGCCACAGAAAGGGAGAAAAATATTTACAAATCACATAGATGAATCCCTCAAAACTCTAGAATAAGAAAATATGGACCCAGGTTTTTTTAAAGGCAAATATTCAGAAAAGACACTTTAACAAAGAAAATATACAGATGAAAATATGTTTATGAAAAGATGTTCAGCACCATTAATTATTAAGGAGATACAAATTAAGACCACAATGCAACTGGTTAGTGTACACCAATGAGTGTGGTTAATAAAAAAAAAAAATCGTGACAATACCAAATGCTGAGGAGGATCCAGAGCAAATCAAACTCTTGTACATGCTGGTACACTTTGCAAACTGATCCCAGATTTCTTTCTCTTTTTTTAAGTTTTTATTTATTTATTTGACAGAGAGAGACACAGCGAGAGACGGAACACAAGCAGGGGGAGTGGGAGAGGGAGAAGCAGGCTTCCCGTGGAGCAGGGAGCCCGAGGCGGGGCTCCATCCCAGGACCCGGGACCATGACCTGAGCCGAAGGCAGACGCTTAACGACTGAGCCATCCAGGCGCCCCCCAGATTTCTAAGAGATTAGAAAAAAGATGAAGGAAAAAAAGAATGCTAATATTTTGCTGCAAAACTTGGAGAATGAGAAGTGGATTTAAGGTGGATTGTTTTATTCAAATGAATTCTCTGAATTTTACACGATTTCCACGCTGTGCATGCAATTCTATTGTAATCAGTGGAAGAATTTAAAAAGAGAGGAAAAAAGAAAAATATCCTCAAGATGTAAAGTCTGGTAATGACCAGATACTAAAAATTATATAGATATTGGGTCAGGATGGCAGACTGAGGCGCGTTTCTCTCGTCCTATTTCAAATCCTTTTTAATAACACGAAAGGCAGGTTTCTGTATATAAAGAATAACTCCAGAAGGGCACGGGGAAAAGAAAGGGCAGATTCTTGGAAGATGGAAAGCAGATGGGGCAAGGGCACTGAGGTGGGGGCTGTGGTGAGAAGACTGCGGGCCCTGAACTGAAGAGGGGGAGCCGGGGGAGGGGGATTGTGGGCCCAGAGGCTCCCTCCTTTGGAAAGGGGCGGAGCTGGGAGCCAAGAAGAGCCTCCCAGGTCCAAGGCAGTGGTGGGTGTGAGTCTTGAGGATGGGGTGGGGGAGTGCGGTGTTTGGCAGGAAGAGGAGGCCTCTCTCCTGGCAGGAAGCTGCGCTACGGGAAGAGGGAGGAGACTGCGGCGGCGGCAGAGGCTGGTGGGAGCCAGATGTGGCAGAGCAGCTGCCGCCAACAGTGAGGCTGAGGGTCCGTGAGCCGAGTGCTGGGGACACTGCATCAATCCGCTTCACCTTCCTCACTGCCCTCCAATACACGTTTCCCGTCTACGGATCCTCCCCTCTCAGCTCGTGCAAGCCCTCAGCTCATCGCCTGCTGATCCTCTTTCACCACTGGCTCAGAGCGGAGGCAGCGCTGCAAGGTGTCCCATTTGGGCACGTGAGGGCCGCGATCCCCGGACTTGGGGAGGTGGGCCCTGGACTAGAAAACTGGAGGATGGGGGTTGGTGGGTGCCCGGCGGGAAAACTGGGGTCGATGCTCCGATGGGTGATGAGGGAGACTAAGAAGGGTAATTTGGGGACTGTGGTGTGTGTGTTGGGGGGAGCTGAAAAGCACCTGAATGATGTACAAAGGTAGCCAGGCATGAAAATACATTTGTTGTAGGAGCTCAACAGGAATATGGGGATGACCAGGAAGAGACATGAAGGAGAGATGAACACCAGCCATGGGGATGGGAGGCAAAAGGGATGAAGAATAGATGGCAATAGGAAGGGGACAAGGGGAGTGACAACATTAGTAGAAAAGGAGTAATGGCGTGGGGGCTAAGAAATGGTAAATATTTGTGTTTGGGATGGGGGCTCTAGGATGGCAACAGAGGATCAGGCATTATGCAAAAGAGCCTACTCCCTCTATCTGGGGCCTCAACCCACTACAACCACCACAACCACCCCCTCTCTAATCCTGCAGCACAGCCAAAGAAGCCTAGAGGGAGGGCACTGAAGGCAAATATGCAATAGCATCTTGATATCCAGTATTCCTGCTGGACACATCTGAATAACTTGGGCAGAATGTACGTGGTCCCCGGGGAATTTGCAATACAGAGGGAAAAAAGCTCACACTATAATACACCAAATATTTCTCCCTAGCATCTTTCCACTTCCTGCAGGTATGAAGACCCTTCACAAAAAGGCAGCTGCGGGGCAGCAAACCAGGGAAACTGTTGATCATCACATTGGATCTGCAAATATGAGGAAGAAAAAGACCTGTCAAAAGAAACAGAGGGGCAGACCTTCATCCCAGCCTCGAAGAAACATAGTGGGCTGCAGAATTTCACATGGATGGAAGGAAGGTGATGAGCCCATCACCCAGTGGAAAGGAACCGTTCTGGATCAGGTGCCTATCAATCCCTCTCTTTATCTGGTCAAATATGATGGAATTGACTGTGTCTATGGACTGGAACTTCACAGAGATGAAAGGATTTTAAAGCTTAAAATCCTTCCTGATAAGGTGCCATTTTCTCGAGTCAAAGATGCGCACCTTGCAAATACCATAATTGGTAAAGCTGTGGAACATATGTTTGAGGGTGAGCATGGTTCTAAGGATGAATGGAGGGGAATGGTCTTAGCCCAAGCACCTATCATGAAAGCCTGGTTTTATATTACCTATGAGAAGGATCCTGTTTTATACATGTACCAACTTCTAGATGATTACAGAGAAGGAGACCTCCGTATCATGCCAGAGTCCAGTGAGTCTCCTCCAGCAGAGAGGGAGCCAGAAGGAGTTATAGATGGCCTCATAGGTAAACATGTGGAATATACCAAAGAAGATGGCTCCAAAAGGACAGGCAAGGTCATTCACCAAGTCAAAGCCAAACCCTCTGTGTATTTCATCAAGTTTGATGATGATTTCCATATCTATGTCTATGATTTGGTGAAAAAGTCCTAACTGTTAGGGTAAACTTTGCCACATTTGTGGAGGCAAAAATATGTTTTGGATACACACAAAAATGTTACTTTTCAGTGCATTTAAACTTAAGGATCCTTTTTAACCCAAAATCTTAACCAGCATAACTGTTATTTGTTATGAAAAATACAATTGTATATGGACATGACATACTGTGTAAGGAATTTGTCTTGTTGAAAAGAATGGGTGTGTTTGGTGGCTGGAGCATGAAAGGAAGGGACAGCTGTAAATGCAGGCTATGGATAAACTTAGGCTACTATCATAATTAGTCATCTAAAAAAGGAATAGGAATTAGCTGGTCTGGTCTAGAGAGGGAGGAGGAGAAGGAACTAGAGATGGGCTGTGGGGGGAGGGAGAAGGGGAGGTGACTGTTTATGAAGAGGTGGGGCAGAGCCAGAAATCGAGAGGCTTTCTGGGGGAGGGATGACCTAAGAGAGAGGCACCCAACTGGGAGGGGGTGGAGAATTAACAGAGAGAGAATGAGATCTTGGGGATTAGAGGAAAACAGAATACCTTGAGAAGAAAGGGAGAAAAAGAAGCTTTGAAGAGGTCCAGAGCAAGGGGAAGAAAGAATTTGGCAGGAATCTGGAGAGGGGCTAAAGGATACTCAAAAGGAGGGTCTATGCATGAGTAAGGAGCCAGAGGGGGAGGAACACTGAAGAAGAAAGAATTCCAAGGAGAAAGACTGATAGAGGAAGTGAGAACAGAGAAGGAGGTGTGGGGAGTGGGGCCCCTGAGAGATGGGGAGGCCCAGGAAAAAGTTGGACTTCTGGCAGTATCCACATTGTTCTCCCTAGCTCTGTGCTGGAAGGATGTGACAGCTGTCAAAGAACCAAATGGATTGGAAGTTCCCTAGAATGGCATTTTGACAGGGATGACTCAAGAGTTAAGCAGGAGCCAACTTTATACCGAAAAGGCTTTTCTTACTTCAGAGAGCTCATGCCACACCTGCCGAGTAGAACCCCAAGCCTTAGCCTAAACACACTGACCTGACACCCCATGAGCAGGGGGCTATGAACAACCTCCTCACTTTTCCCAGAGGACCCAGGTGCAGTAAATCTTGGACCTGAAGTTCTTGGTTCATTCCCCCTATGCTGGATAAACTGTTCTTGTGGGGAATGGGTCAGCGGGGTGCTCAGGACTTAGATGTGCCACCTTGGGTTTGGAAAGTATTTTATCAAAATAAAAAAAAAAAAGGAACCTTGCTGAACACAAGTAAAGGAGTCCCCTCACTGTTCTTTTTCCTACTGGGCTGTGCCTTGCCTCCCTATAGAGGAGGGGCATCAGAGGATTGAGCCTAATGTTTCTCTCCAGGACATGGGGAGTACTTGACAGTCCATGCTTCTCTCAGCAGCTGCCTGAAACCACAGGTGGCTCCACCCAATGCTTCACTGAATGGAGGTCCACTGCCTCCAGAAGCCACATTCAGACTATACCCCGACAAAGCTGGTGGCTACCGACCCTTCACAGGTACATCCTGGCCAGTCTTGCCCACCCCAAGCACACAGGGAAGCTGTGATGGAAGTTTGCACAGTTCTGTTTCCAGGTGAGATGAATGGCATGGAGCAGTTGGGCTGGGAGTTATGACTTTGTATAACTAACTCCTTCAACTGTATAATGCCACATAGAGGGGTGGTGGATTGTGGGGAGAGGGTGAAATAATCCCAATAAAGTCCCTCAGAAATACTGTGTCCTGACACATTGGGTCTGTGTCCTCTTTTTCTCCTCCCTCCTTGCCTTTCCCAGTCCTACTGTGGAAGTTTCCTTCAAAAGCCTCTCTCTGGTTTCCCCACCTCACACTTCACTAAAATATACCCCTACCCTCAAAGAAAGAGTTAAGGTGACCCCACTGCCCAGGCTTCTCTAACTCCATGCATAAGAGGGGGAGGGAGAGGCAGAGAGCTTCCAGAATTCAAAAGGTGGTAATTCCATTTCATTCTTTCCACCCAGCATAACCTGAAGCTGTTTGCTTCAAGAAATAAAAAAAGGAAGCCTACCTCAGCATAGCACGCATTAGTTTTCTTTCATACATCACAAAATTCAGGCTAGCAAAACACCTACTGGCCACCCATCGGCCAATTTCAGCCAGCTATCATGTTTTGTTTGATCCTGATGTTTTTATTTGTTATTTTTAAATTAGCTACTGAGACATGTGGGAGATTTCACATTACAAAATCCATAATTCTGGCCCGCCTGAAAAAAAAAAAACAATAAACTGAGGATTAGAGCCCATATTCCAGCAAGGATACAAGCAGGGGGGTGTGAGGAAGGTCTCAGCCCATTTTAGACTCTGAATGCTCTCTCAGCTTGGCCATACCTCTAGTTGGCCTGCTTCACTCCAATAAAAATCCCAGTTGTCCCCTGGAGGCATTTGCCTTTATAGTTTTGGAGCTAGATCCATGGGAAACTGCCTAGCCCCCCTTTTGCCTTACTTTCTCCCCATTTGCCTTTGAATTCATTTGTTTTATCTTTGTCCTCCAATACTTACTTTAGGTGGGCTCTCTGCCTGGCAGTTTTCTAGGCACAGGTACTGATGATATAGTAATGAACAAAAGAAATAAATAAAATAATCTTACCCTCATGAGACTTACGTTTTAGTGTGGGAGACAGATAGTAGCCAAGATACAATAAGTAAAATACAAGGTATTTTCAAAGTGGTAAATGTTAAGAAGAAAAAATAAATAAGGCAAGGAATGAAAAATAGAAACTTCAGATTAAAAGCTGAAATTATACAAATAGGGAGTCCGGAGAAGGTCTCACTGAGATCATGACTTTGGAGTAAAGACCTGAAAGCAATTAGAGAACTGGCCCTGTGGCTATCTGGGGAAGGAACATTCCGCATAGAACAACAGCAAGTGTTGAAGCTCCAGCCAGGAGTAATCTTGGCATGTTCAAGGAATACTGAGGATACCAGCATTGCTGAAACTGATTGAGCAAGGTAGAGAATATCAGAAAGTGAGTTCAGAGAAGTGATGTGGATCTGGGAGAAGAAGATAGTTTAGAGACTTTAAGGTCCTAGAATGAAATTTGGTTTATACACTGAAAGTGATGGGGAGCCATTTGAGTATTTTTAGCATAAGCATGACATAATTTATCTCATATTTGAACAGGATCACTCTGGCAACTCTGGAAAGTAATGTGTATGGGGTTCAAAGATAGAAAAAGGGAGTTCAAATATGCTAACAAAACAGTGGAAAGCCCTAGAAATAGGTTTGCATATAGGAAACTTGAATCATAATAAAAGTAACATTTCATATGAATGATGAAAAGACATTTTATTCAATAAATGATGCTGCAATGATTTTTTTGTCATATGCCAAAAAATAAACCCCTAACACAGATAATACATTCCAAATGGGAAAAAAAAGGTAATACTTCAATTTGGAAAGTAGCACTTATAAAACTTTAAAAATATAAAATAGAAGGGGCGCCTGGGTGGCTCAGTCGTTAAGCATCTCCCCTCAGCTCAGGTCATGAACCCAGGGTCTTGGGATCAAGCCCCACATTGGGCTCCCAGCTCAGCAGGAAGCCCGCTTATCCCTCTCCCACTCACCTTCTTTGTGTTCCTGCTCTCGCTATCTCTCTCTCTCTGTCAAATAAATAAATAAAATATTCTTAAGAAATTTTTAAAAATTTTAAAAATTATAAAATAGAAGTTGATATTTATATTTTTTCCTATGAAAATGTGCAAGATTTCATTTCAAGACAAAAAAACCACAGGTATTAAAGGAAAAATCTAATAAATTTGATTATTTTAAAATAGACATGTTTTCATATTCCTATACATTTTATTCATTTTCATATTGCATATTTTAAAATATGCAAAATCTCAAAACCCATCATATGCAAAGTGGAACAAAATGAGATTAAGCTACAAACTTTGATAGTTAAAATGAATGAAATAACAAAAATATATTCGATGATAAAAAAACAAACAGTCCATAAGAAACTTGGCAAAAAAATATGAACAGGCAATTCACAAAGAGATCACATGATCAAAAAACATATATTACCTTAATCTGCTCCCCATTACCTTATTGTATCTTTTCTATAACATATGTCATCTTCTAACATACTATATAATTTACTTAGTTAATATATATATTGTTTTCCTACCAGAATGTAATCCTTGAAAGTGCATGATTCTCCTTGCTTTGTACTCACCAATGTATTTCAAGTTCCTATAAGAGTACCTGGAATATAGTAGGTGCTTAATACATATCTGTTGACTATATGAATCTCATCATCAAATACAAAAATGGTAATTAAAATAACATGTTTTCACACACATCAGATCAACAGCATATGTGAAGTTTGAAAATATGTATTGACCAGTTAAACAAGTGGCATATTCCATCCACTGTAGGTGAGTGTTTAATCAGAGAGAAATTTGCCATTATCTAGTGATTTTCAAGATGGCATATTTCCAGCAATTTCACTCTTGTATATTGATGGAAGGCAATTTTGTATGTATCTCATATGTTTTTGCACATTTTGCAAGCAAGACACTATTCTTTTTTTAAAAACTATCTTTTGGAAGATGTTTGAATGGGAAACTGCGTTGGAAGATAAAGATAGGATCTCTCTCTGAAGTAAAGAGCAAGTTTACTTAGAATGTTTGGAAGTTAGAGAGTGATTCCCTCTGGAGCAAAGGACAGGAATGCTTTTTCCAATAAAATATTGTCTCCTTCAAGAACAAACAGAAAGGATGCTTCCTGCTCATTATAAAAGTCTGAAGTTTCCACACTGATGTTTCCTCCATTGTAATGCAACCTATCTTATATGTAGGTGTCATGTGACAAATTTGCATCACCCTATGGAAAGTGTGACTTAGTTTTCTAGGATAAAAATACCGATATTCAGACAATTGCTATTACTGCAAATAATGAACTACCCTTTGTCTCTGACTCAGAAGTCTCATGTTTTCTTCAGGCACCCAAGAAACAGTGGCAGACTACATCATTAGCTCACAAATAATTTTATAATCTTCACAGTTCTTGATACTTGTAGCAATGAGGAGAGGATGCTGATAGAAGCATGGCTTTCTGTAAGAGGAAGAATGAAGACCTCACCAGATAATTAATGGAATTTGAAGGTAATTTATGTGAATTGGTGGTGAATTACAGACAAGTTATGAATAAATGCTCTTCCTTCTTTAAATAAGGAGGAATTGGAGAAGTGGTTGCAAGATGAGAGCTGGTGGCTCCCTGTCCACAATGAAGATCAAAGTTTATATGCACCCATCTAACTATGCCAGAAAATTTTGGCAAAGAGAGAAAACCAAACTTCTATG